AATAGGGAGGGATGGAGGGGTTGAAGGGAGGGCAGGGGAAGAGGGAAAAATAAGAACCAAGAGAGATTATGTAAAGGTGCAAATTTCCAGTGATGGATGTCATTATACTGTATACCTAAAATGCACTGATAAAATAATATTTTTTAAAAGGAGATATAAAAAGAATGTCTTATTTTTAAAGGAAAATCTTATTCTAATATAATGCAGAATGTGATAGAGATAGCAAAGATAAGGATATCATCCATTCTAAATTCCTTGACATCCACCTTAGGAAGTCAGTAGTTATTGTTGGCATAAGTAGGTAAAAATAATTTTAATGCTTTAAGATAATCATGTCAGACTATCTTCAAAACAGGGTGTTACTCTTAAAACTCACAGATTAGCAAATGAAAAAAGTTCATTCACCAAAGGTAGAGTAGATCATGATAACAAAGAAGCATTAAAATATAGAGACCATAGTTATAGGACAGTATCAAATGACACAGTTTCCAATGAGGTTGATATTCTCAAACTATTTTCTATGATAGGTTGGTAGGATAAGTACACTGAGAAAGTTTTTCACCAAGTAAGTAACAAGATGTCTCTCTCCCATTTTAATATTCACATGTAAACTGTTTGGAAAATTCATATAAATAAAACAATATAATTGGGGCATTTGGGCATTCAATTTTTCAAATAAAAATGGAAATATCAGTGACAGTTCAAATTAATACTTGAGGAAATTAAATTATCATTTTCAAATATTTAACCCATACAGTTGAAGTGCACACACTCCAATACACATGCAGACCCACACACACAAACATACAATTGGAGAGTAAATTACAATCTTCCCCCTTCCCCACCTCTTTCCTGCTCCTTTAAACCCTGGGCAGATTTTTTCTTGTTTTTCTTTTTGCATTTCAGACTATAATATTTAAGATTTTGAAAGAGCTTCTTTGGTGAATGCTTTAAATTTTGAAAACTTAGAAGATTGACAAAATTTTATTATACTGACATTTAATAAAACAAATCTACAGCCAGAGAAAGACTTTTTCTCTTTTCACTGGCAGTAATTGTAATAGAGCTGGTGGATTCAAAAGGAGAATTTCTGTGATTTAAATTTGTTCACACTGAAGTTAGTGTATTGTGTGGCAGTTTTCTATTCCCACTTAATCTGCTTTATTACTAATAAGTATATTTTCTAGTTATGTCATTTAGTCTATTTTTACAACTGAAAACAATTTTATATCTTTGTAAGTAAGTAATTAGGGCCTTTAAGAGCATTTTTGGTTTGGACTCAAATTAATTTGTATCTGATTATGATGGGTGCCTTTCTTTATGATCTAGAGGATTTTCAATTGCTAAATACTATGCAACCATTTTCCCAAAAAGGGTACTAAGAAGTTGGTTGGCGGAGAGACAAGCCAAGTTTTGAAATATTTAAGCAGTAGAAGTTGGTAAAATGTGATAGAGAATTTTTTTTTCTCTTAGCAATGGGTTTGAAAATTCTCCTTGGGGAGAGTTATATTGTTTTGTTTTATTTTGTGTTGTTTGGAGGAAATGTGTTGATAAGATGCTTGAGGAAAGGGAAATGGGCATGTGTGTGCTTATGTCCTGCAGAATTCCCTCAGACTGGTTGTCACTTCTTTTGTTTCATTTTTGGTAGAATATAGCATAGGTATAATGTCATGTTGTGTATAGGACTGCTGGGTTTACATACTATAAGGGGTGAATATTGAAGGCTTTGTGTTTGTTTTGAAGAGTAACTTGATGAAAACTGGCATAACAACAACAAAGGGGATCACACTATCTTCCTTCTCAATAGAAGGCACCCATCACACGACACCAGATGCAGCCACAGCGCTTCAGGTCTTCAGGGACTCTGCTGGGGGTGGGGTGGGTGATGATGACAGAGGAGGGCATGGTGTGTTCCAGCTGGACACAAAAGAGTGTGCATTATGGTCCAATATGACTCATCCCTCCTCGATCTGGACCCTTACGTATGCAAAACCCGCTAACAGTTGTTATTGCCTTATATGATGTATTAAAGGATAATTTCTTTGCAATCTATAAATGAAGTCCAAGTGTAAGTAAACAAGATTGCTGATCACATTGGTGTTGAGTATTGGTGAATCTAGCTCATTTTCCGCCTCAACAAAAATAGGCATGTGGCTTTAAAAAGAGTTCTGTGATCCTGGATATCTTTCTTTAGATTATGGTCACTACTGGTCATAATTATTCATAATTATGTGTCCCTGTTTCTTCCTTGGAGGTCAAAAATCACCATATGTCTTACCCTAGAGGGTCATGTGTAGATTTCCTGTGGGATCTGAGCTAGAATGAGGGATATGGGAAAAGACATAGGGAAGTGGAAAGTTGAAGGAGAGAGACAGAGAGAGAGAGACAGAGAGAGAGACAGAGAGAGAGAGAGGAAATTTTTTTCCCAATTCTCCCTAGCATCAGAGATAATTTGAAATATAACCAGATCAAGAAGCTTAATAAAAAGATATATTTTATCCATGTTTTATTTTCTTTTTACTGATAATACAAATGAGTAGAAAGATTTTGCA